GCTGGTGAAATGACTTTGCCATAAAAACAGTAAATATTAACTCCAAACACTTACTCTCTTCATGTATTAATGCTCTTTTATCCCTCTGAATAATAACAAAAGGAATTCTTATTGTGTTTTCATTTGTGGATAATATTGCTGAACATACACTATTAGCATTTTTAGTGTTTGACAAAGGTAGTAATTATTCATTTGATGCAATAGGGGGAACAGAACCAAACACATCTTTCACACATTGAACATGTTTTGGTCGATCAAAATGTTTTTTTATATCATTCCATCCTCCGTTATCCCAGCTGAGATCATCTGTACAACACACAATGCATTAAAACGAACTGGCAGTTTTACCTTTCTTAAGCTGTACAGAACATAATCTATCAGTATTCTCTAGTTTTTGCAACCATTTTGAGCAAAACACTATTTTTCGGCATTTGAAAATGTCTAATTGAGGGGGTACATTTTTCGAAGCTGAATCGCTATAACATGATTGTGTTTTATATATAGAGAGAGAATAACAAAATTAGAATAAAAGCATGACAATGGAAGAGAACAAAAAGTAAACAATGAACAATGAAAAGTGTGTGTATCTCAATAAAAAAATAAGTTCCTGCACAATTGATTCTGTTTTCAACAAGACTTAGTGTTTACTTCAGCAACCTACGTTTTAGTTGTAACTAGTCATGACTGTCGCACCTACTCTTACGCAGATTTGACTCCAAAAGAAGCAATATTAGAACAAACTTTGTAATTCCTGATTTTTAAAAAAAAATTTCTTGTCTGCTTTCCTGATTTTGGAACACATGCCGCTGCGACCCCTGTATATAGATTTAAACAAAAGAACTAGCTTGAAAAAAATATTGATGGATGTGTTTGTTCCTTTTTCTTTCAATAAATATTTTAAGTATAAAATTAATAAAAAATACTTCGTATGGAACATTATTATTTTATTTAGTCTATTTTGACCAAAAAAATTTTTTCTTGTTTTTCCGAAGATAAGAATCTACCAAAAACCATTAAAAATTTTGTTTTTTTTTTTCTATTCCTAATCAATAAAGAAGAAAGTTACATTTTCGATTACATTAACCGATACATATTAAATTGCAGAAGCGTCTGTCATAAATGAATCATTTAATATCGTTCTGTATATATGTCAAACTTGAATTGAATTCAAGTTCGACATTACTGAGATTTGCCGATGCTTACTTTTATTTTGATTTTTCATTGTATAAAACTGTCTTTGATAGCGGCGATATTCTCATAGTGAATTCCAAGGTGTTGAGCACTTTGTAACGATCTTAGCTCTCGCATTTCATTGGAAAATGTTTGTAGGCAACTATTGCTTTAATATTAATGACTATTAGTCCGCTTCTTTTTTTTACAGCGATCTGTTTTTGCCAACTAATCAACATGTTGTTTTATATAATTTACAGAACAGCAAAATAAGAATTAATCCTTGTATGAAATTATAACAGATGTGCTCTCTCGCTTAAAAAGAAAACTATTAATAAAAAATATTCTGACGTGTCCCTCATCAAATACATTGCATGACGTTGATGTATGGTGTCAGCAAAATATAGATGACATTTATATTGCCATCGACCATTCAAAATAATTTTAGCACACGAATTACTTAAAATCTGCACATGAATGAGGCATGCGCTCAACATTCATCAATGGATAAGAATATCAGAATATTAAAACACATCCTAAGGCACGCATGTGTGTATACATATGATAAAAATATTTGTCGAGAAAATAGTTTTGCTTGCTATCTTACTTAAATATCGCATGTTCAAAGGAATCGCGGTGTCATTTCTGAAAAAAAAAAGGATATGCAGCGAAATATGCACGAAGATCTGCCGCAATCATCGACTGTACTGACAAACATCAACAAGAGGTGCCTATCAGTAAATACTTCATTATATAAATGATTGTCTCATTTCATGTTTAGACGTTTTATCTTAATTATTCTTGCGATTACTATTGGAATATGCATTGTAACAATGGTCATTGTCGTACCTATCATATTAACTAGAACGACCACTACTACTGGTATGTTGTTTTTGAACGAACAAAAGTACATGATAATGTTTTCATGGAACGGGACAATTATAGTAGTTGAGCATTTTTTTAACGTCAAAAAAACACTGAAATGCCGAAAGATGTCAAAAAAAATGCAGAGGCACTAGAAAGTGTTACTATTAATGCTCGAACACTGAAAAATGTCGAAGAACTTAAGTCAACAACTAAGAATAAATTCTTATAAATGAAAACACTGTAGTAGCTGTCTTTGCTGCTGCTATGTTTTATCTTTTTCTGAATGATTATTCTAGCGGTGATAAGTTATTGTTATTGTGAGAGACTCCATGAGAAAAGTGAGTATTCAACTAGAGAATCATCATAGAATGCATTGGATGTGAGTAGATGTGGGTGTCAAGAGAAGAGACATCCACCAATACCCACACCCATACCCCATATCTACACCCTTTTTTCTTTCCGTAATAGTATCAATTACAACAACGGCCACAACAGCAACAGCAACGTTAGTCACAAACACGATCACAACAACAAGAGCAATATTGGCCACAACTACGATCACAACAAAAGCAATAAACACATTGGAAACACCTGTGGTTCCAACAACGACAGCCATTGGATGTAAGCTTTTTCTTAATTTAATATCAAATCTTGACAAAAATTAGAGAATTATTTCTTCACATCGAGTTGATTGATGCCTTCAGACTCAAAATACAATCTAGATATTTGTATAAAATAATTGTTTGAGATCGAGATTATATCTGTTTTCTTCAACACGATCCCATTATTTCATAAATGAGTTAAAAGCAAAAGTTGATTGACACGAAGAAAAACGCGTACCAGATTCAGATTTTCTGAAATATTCATCCAATTTGTTTATATACTATCCTTTTTACAATAGCAAGAAATACTTCATAAAACTGCATATATTCTTTGATTGAAGAGCTAATTTTGTAAGAAATTTGCTCTATTCTCTTTATGTTAGTATCTATCTAACTTTTGTTTCTAACTCATTCATACAATAATGCTTTCATATTCAGGAGAAAATATTTGATCTTAATTTGAAACATAACCAGTTCATATATAAAAGTATTCTCTACAAAATCATAGCACCGAAAAAAATTTCAGACACATCTTGACTGGTACAAAAAAAGGAATAGAATAAATCTTGTAGAAACTATTCATTACCGACAATTTTTCAAATGAAAGTTGGAATGAAAATTAATTTAGCGTGTAGAAAAATATTT